TTTTTCTCTTGCTTTGTAGTTCTCTATTTCTTTGATTACTCTTACTAATTTGTTATTGTTTACTGGTATAGCTTATGGTATGTCTTTATATGTTTTTTCTATTTGTATTATTGCTAAGGCCTTATACTTTGATCTTTTAATTCTTACTATGTAGGCTTTCCTAAATCTTCTACAGATATATTCTACTTCCTTTTTGTTTATGTTTATTGATAGGTCCCAGATTGTTATGTAGTTTGTATTCTCTAATTTACCATTTATATTGCATTGGTTTTCTTTTGTCTTAGTTTTGTTTACTTTTTACTCAAGTTTTTCTTTTTTGGTTCTTGCTTTATTGTTTCTTTTCTTTTGATATCCTTCATTATATTGTGTTTGTTTTTTCCTACTATCTTCTTTTTTTTTTTCTAGTATCATTTTGTACCAGTCACTCTCCTTTTTGCTGATTCTTTGTATTGTTTTACTTCTGTTATATTCATAGTTGAAGTTTACCTCTATCTATAAGTTTTCTCTTTTAAAGATTTCTCTGATGTCTTTAACATGTATATTGTTTTTTAAAGACCATCTAATGAATTTCATATAATCTTTTTTTGTTTTACTGAGTACATTATGTACTAGTATATTGGCAAGTAGACTGTTAATTTGGTTGCAGTTTTTTTTGTTTGGAGCCCACATACTCTCTTCTAAGGGTTTTTCAAATATGTTAATTTCTTTTTCGATTTTCTTTTTGATGTCTTCTTGTTTTTGCTTCCTTTCTTGTTCTTCTATGTTTCTTTCTTGAGCAGATGAATTCTTTTCTACTTGATCTTTGTTTATTAAACTTATCTCTATACTTACTTCCTTTTGTAAGCTTTTAATATTATCTTGTGCTTTTTTTTCAACTGCTTCTTTGTTTTCTGTCTTCTTTTCTTGCATTATTTTGCATGATTCTTCTTGACTTCTGTTTGCTTCATTTAACTGTTACTATATTTCTTTTCCTTTATCCTGTGTCTGCACTATTGCTGGTTCTTCTATTGTAGCATTTTTGGTTTGCTTGTTGATATTAATTTTCTTTTCTGATTGCTTTTTTTCTGTCTTCTTAATTATTTTTCTAGTTATGTGTAGCAAAGCAACTTCTATTGGGTCTTGTTCTGTTGGCATAGCAACAATTTCATCTTCTCTGTTTGGTGTTACATATATTTTGCTTGCTTGGTTAAAAAACACCTTGTTGTATATGCTGTTTGCTATCCAATATGCTTTCTTAATATAGATTGACATTAGACTTTCTTTTTGGTTTGGTGTACTACTCATTTGATCTAAGTACTAATGATTCCTGTTTGCTACTTGTTTTTCTGGAATCTTCTATGCTTATATTTATCATTATTCAAATTAGGCTTATTTGCACATCGACTAATCTATATGTTTGTTTTGTTTTTTGTTTATGTGTTGTAGTGATCTACAGATCTATGCTTTTAGGTTATAGTAAATTTCCCAAATTTTGTTTTTCCTAATGTCAACCAAGATGTTTTTTGTTTTATCTTCTTAATAAATTATTCAAGTTTTCTCTTTCTTGCTCTTGTTATATCTTCTTTACTAGTTCTATCTTTTTTCTTAGACTTGTAAAGTCAGTTTAGACTGTTGTTTTTTGGCAAACTTCTAAATTGCTTTTTTACAACTTTTGTATAAGTGATTAGTGAAAAGAGTTGTTTAGAAAATAATTTTATTAATTTCTTTAATAAACTTTTTAATATATTTAATAATATTAACTATGAATTTGATAACTATTTTTTTTTTTTTTTGATATTAAGGTGACCTCTTTGGTCTTTTGACTTTTATTAATCACTTATCAGTATTGTGGTTCAATGAACCACTACAGGAGAGCATACAATTGGCTACACATATAACTTTTTTATATTACCTATTTAAGAAGTCCACCTGAAGATTCTTCACCAATTGCCATACCTAATACTCTTGCTTGAGTGTTCTACTTTAAACTTTCTAAACCTGTAACCTGTGTTAACATCACTAGTCATCTCAGATATATCAGATCATCATCCTTAACTTTAGGACTAATTTATCCTTGAGGTAAACCTTCTAGAGCCTTCTGTACTCATTTTTACAGCTAATTTAAGTATCACTATAGCAGAACCAACACTTGCGATTAGGGCTAACCATTAAACTGCTATGCTCTTGTAGAGTTTACTTAAACTCCAGCATCTACTTTACAGCATAACTCTGATACTTTAGTATACCCCTGCCTTTTCCTTTGCCCTTTTACCAAACTCCCAATCCAGATAGCCCATATAAAACTACGACCAATCCATCAGTATATTAGGTTGGCCTGATATTCTTTTCCTCTAGTTCATTTTGGCAGTCTGGTTGGTAGTACCTCTGAGACTCTCAACCCAAAGGTTCTTGCCTGTCCAGCTACTAGGATCGGATATTAGACCTGAGTATCCATTTCGCCAAGCTAGTCTTTACAGTAAGGCCATCAAAAATCCAGCTATCTCTCTACTCGAGTCTTCTCAAATGGACTTCTTGTTACTCAATTTCAACAGATTTACACAACCACAAGGACTTATCTAGTGTTTGTACTACCTGATTTGTCAGTTTGCATTCCTCTATATAACTCCAACATTGCACAAATGCCCCATAACCTGCCAGTCATACTGGTGTGACTGCCATTACAAGTATCTTAACCCAATCATTAGTAACAGTTGCTATAATACGAATATTATATAGGTGATTATCCAAATTTTTGCTGTTGATGGGATTTGAACATCTAACCTACCACTTGGAGGGTTGATAACCTGACCACTTCACTAGGTCACCACACTCTATAATAACTATTTTAAACAAAATCATATATATTTAATAAATAGCTTATAATTTAGCTAGATTAAATTTTATAAAAATTTTTTGTTTATATTAATATCCAAGTAAGTTTTTTTAAAAACTTAACAAAACACAATAGGTATTTAATAGATCCAAGTTGATAACAATAATCAAACTATTAACTCTTTCTCTACTAAAATACAAATTTGATTTTTATTATATAAAGCTAAACTTCTTTCAATTATTACTACAATTTTAACAGCTTTTTACAACTCAGTAATTAATATTTATATTAACTTCTAATTAGTAATCTCTAAATTCAATAACCTCTAACTTAATTTAATTTACTTCAACAAGCTTCTTAAATTCAATTTGTAGCCTATTTGGTATAATTTTTTAAATATTATTAAATTATACAAACTACAAATTACCTTTTATAAAATGCTAGCTTATTAAGACAATTATCTTAATAAGTAAGCAGATTCTTTAGCCAAATAGTATTTATTATCACTATTTCTTTTATTTAACTATACAAATTTCTATAATTTTTATTTTATTTTTTAATAAAAATAACATTATATAAAACTTCTTACAAAACATTTCATTAAACAAATCTGTAAAGCTTATATTCTAACTATATAGACATCATAAAAATACAACAATAAATGGCTATACTTTAATCAAGATATTGATTGAAGATCTATTTGGCTTTATTTTAATCATAATCAAAAACCTTTATACAACATTACTAATTTTAAACTTAACTAACTAAAATTCTTTAAAATTAAAATTTTCTTTAATAAGTTGCCAACTTATTTATTATTTTATACTATTTACCCAACTTAATATCTAAATATTATATGTTTTTATTATAACTTACCTAACTTCTATTTCTATTGGCACACTTGTGCTAACCTATCTTTGCTTAATCAAATTATTTAAAGTTTTACTAATCAAATTATTTTTAACAACTTATCTGAACTTGATAACTACCAAAAACATAATTTAATTAATAAAATTTTATATCATCTAAGACACAATTTCTTATATATACTACCCAACACATTCTATTTCAATCTTATTCTTAAAGAACTTATTTCAAAATCACTTATATCAATAATCCAAAACTCTAACATCTTATATAAAACTGTTTCTTAAATTATTTTTCTAATATTAATAAACAATCATATAAGTAATTATGAAAAACATATTGTATTTATTTCTTTGACTAGAAAAAGTAACAAAATAGACCTCAATCTTAACCTATTAACAAACCCAAAACACTTTCTAATTCAACTTCTATGTATATATATTTTTAAAGAAACTATACCTATTCATGTTTTTGTAAACTTTCTGATTAATTATATACTCATTCCAACACATACCCTTCTAATGAACAAGTAATTCACAAATTAATATTTGACCTATCTTATGGATCAAATACAACATATCATCAAATTATATACTAAACATTCAAATCTAGATGAACTTTGATCATTCTAATAGGTTTAGGTCACAGATAAATTAATCTGAACTTTTATTCTTGCATGTAATTTTCAATTTATTTGTTTTGTACAAATAGTAGTAACTATATAGTTAGCAGTTTAATGGTTAACCCTAACTGCAAGTGTTGGATTCGACCATAACATATATATATGTAACTATTTTAAATTACCAATAAAGATATAAGTAAGGTCTCACCTTAATACCAAAAAAAAAAAAACTTAACAAAATTTATATATTTTTTATCATATGATTTTTGCTAATTTGCTACGTAGTAAATTCGGTAAAGTTTAGCAATATATATTATAAAATAAACATGTTTGTGTAGTTCGATAATTCCAGCTAAGCTTTAGTGCTGGTACTATATATCACGTGTGAAATTTACATGAAAACCAAGTTTTTGAAATTACATGAAATTTAAAAATCAATACAACCCCAATTGAGACGAACAAAAAAACTTTGTTAATGTTAAATGTTTCTTGTGAAATTTTACCCTAACACGGAATTTTTGACTACCTAGTAACACTGAAATTTGATAAATTTCGTGTAACATTTACGTTTGACCAATAACGTTTAAAACGAACTTTCTCATGCTGTATTGGGTTGCTCCTACTAAGTCCAAAACAAAATTAGGCCTATTTTCAATCTAAAAGTAAATTTTTTTTTAGGAAATTTCAAAAAATAATACTATGCCATCAAAACAAGACAAAGCAATAGGCGCAACGCTGCTCCTTTCTTCTGCATCTCTATTTGCATACTACACTATATGGGCTTTGATTATGGTTTGCGACAAACTCTTATTCTTTTAGCATTTTTAAATGTATTCAATTTAATTCAATAATTAACAAGAGTTTTTTTTTACATGTATGTAGCCATTTGTTGACGATGGTCATCCTCTACATGAATACTTTCCCGACAGAAAATATGCGATAATAATCCCCGTCGTTTTATTGCTTTTTGGATTAACTGTCGTATTTACTTTTCTGGCTTTAGTTATGATTAAAAGCAATGGGACAAAAAAGGGTGTTAAAAAGGCTTAGCGTATTAGAGTTTAGAGCCGGGTTATAGTAAACCGGGTCACCCGTGTCAAAACGGTTCAACCGGGTTAAACATTTACAACTCGGGTCAAACCGGTTGAATATGTAGCCTCTGAAAAATCTGTTACTATTACGTACACAGAAAACAAAACTTAACACATTATTATTGTATTGTGAAAATAAACACCCTTTTTTTTCTTACTAATTTATCTAAATGTTCAATCCCGCTAATCTAGATTTAAAAAAAAGTTACAAATTTTCGGAGGCTACCATACGACTATCTATTATGAAAATTTTGGTTAAAGATTTTCCTTTGTATAAGCCTTCGTTATTATTTTCTTTGCTTTGTTAATATGTAATACACTGTGTGGGTTATGAATTTTGTAATCGCAGATATTTATAAAAGTTTGATATATACGTACGTGCATGCGTTGTTACGAACAATGTCGTAATAAATCAAAATACCCTCCATTAATAACTAGGTTAACAACAACCCTAGCATCACCCATAAAAGAATTTATCTGACGTCACTTGTAAATATAATAATAATAATAATAAAAGAAATAGAGTTATTAACAGTAATAAATCGGCAAAAAAAAAACGATTGTTAATGAAGTAACATACTCCGGAGTAGTGATGCAGTAGAATCGTCTTAATGATTGCCTTAACTAGTTACGACATAAGCTTTAGCTAGTTACGGCTTAAGCTGTAACATCGTTGGGACTATTCTACTGTATCACTACTCCAGAGCCACTCTATTACACAAAACCTGATGTTTTTTTTTGATAGTTATTATTGTAAAAACAATTTAATGAACACAATTTCATTATAATTATTATATTTACAAGTGACATCAGCTAAATTTATTTATGAAGGATGTTAGGGTCCGAAACCTTACTTATTATAATAGTTAACTATAAAAAAGTATAAAATGATAAGTATAAAAAAAAATTGCTGTCCAATAAGTAGGGCTGTTAAAAGTCCGATCCTATCCGTCCGGACTCCTCAAATAGGGACTTTGATCAGGAGTCGATTCTTACATATGATTTACTAATATGATAATTTATATCTCTAAAATAATTATCATCATCACTAAACTTTATATATTATTAATTTAAAAACTAATTATATTTTTATTTTATATTTATTTTCAAAACTCTTATCTCAGATTAACTTTTTATACACAGAATGGTTCTTGTAGATTCTTTAAGAAGACTATTTTTTGAAAGATTTATTGTATGTTTGGTCACAGAAAAAGTATACTCACATGAAATATTTGTAATATAAAATAGTTTGCAATTATTAAACTATATTTGAAAAATAATGAGTTTTTGTTTTACATTATAATAATGGATTAGTATATAGTTCTAAAGGTAATAAAAGATAGTTTACTAATTCATTTGATAAATTTTGATTGTCTTGATTTGATTTTTTCAAATTCTTAAAATATTCTAACAGATCTTTTTTAGATTCTATTGTTTTTTTACTTATAAACTGAAATAAATAAGAAACCTTCAAACTATTGATAGTTGATTTATAATCTTCTTTATTAAAGATTTCAAATTTAGTAGATAGATTAAATAAAGTCAAAATAGTCAAAGATTTTAAAAAAATAAGTTTAGTATTTTAATAATTTTGTTTTTTATTTTTTAAGCTGTTTTACAATATATGTTTGTATTTATAGTTTTAATATAGTAGTCAAGATGTATTAAGAGTTTTTATAAAATTATTTATAATAAACCATATAAGAGTAATAATGTTTTTGATAATTTCAATGTTACTTTATAAAAAAATTCAAAAAACTGAACTATTTTATTAACTACTTTTTAATCTTCAGATTCTAAGTAGTTTTCTTTTAAATTAAAATAAACTAATACTAAATAGTCTATAATATCTTTAATTTTTATAAATTATTTTATTATAAAATAAATAAAATTTTATTTTATTTAAATATTAAGTTTAGGATAAAGAAACAGTTAATTAAAAATAATAAAAATCTTTTTTATTTTTTCTAAAAGAATAGATAAGTATCTAATTTTATTACAGATATACTAAGACTGTTTTATCTGTTTAATAAAATGATTTTGCACTTTTTTTATAATAAGATTTAAAATATATATAGCATATCTTATATATACAAAATTAAAATTAATATAGTCTTAAAAATAATATAAATATGTTTAATTATTTGATATATTATAAGATTTTATTTTTAATTTTTAAATCTTCTATAAATTCAACTAGTTTTTTTAAAAAATATGTACTAGTATAAGATTTGTATAAGAATATAAAATTAAAAAATAGAATCTTAATTATTCACTTTGTATCTATCTATTAAACTGTAATTCTGAGAAATTATTATTAATTATATGTTATCTAAATATCAATAATAATACTAATTTAATAAGATTTGACTTTAGTATATTTTTTATTTCTATCCTTATAGATTTAAATTTATTTTTGATAATTGTGAAAACTATTTAATAATAGAAAAGTTTATATTATAAATCAAAATTTGAAATAAATTTAATAAAAGGATTTTTATTAACTATTAAAAAAGCTAGCTAATTTTTAATGATTAATTATATAGATCATGATTTAATGATTTTATATGATATTTTATAACTTTATTAGTAGTTGAATATATAATATAAATGATTTTGTGATTTTTGTACTAAAAATTTCTATAAATATCAGAATGTTTACTTTAAAATAATATAAAATTGTTAATAAATATAGATTATTATTTAATAATTTTATAAGATATTTTCTAACTTTATCAGTAGTTGAATATATAATATAAATGGCTTTGTTATTTTTATACCAAAATTTCTATAAATATTAGGATGTTTACTTTAAAATAACATAAAATTGTTAATAAATATATATCTGAATTCTATTTACTAAGCTTATTTTTGGAATTTTCAGAATATATTTTACAAATATAAGTGCTATTTTTATTTACATCTAAATAGTCATAAATAAGCAATGTTTTTTTTCAATTTTTGAATTATAATTATTAATAAATTTATTACTAATATTATTATTTAAAAAATTATAATTATAAGTAGGTTCATTACTAATATTACTTTTATTTGAAGAATTAAAATTAAAAAAAAAATATAGTAAATTATAATTTTAATAAATTTTTAATATTGCTTAATACTACAAATTTTTTTTTTGAAAATAAGATATAATATTAATAAAGAATGATAGTTTTTTATTTGTTTTAATCATTATTATAATAATAAAAAAATATGAAGTTTTATTAAAGAATTTATGATAATAATTAATTTTAATAGAAGTTTTTTATTTTAATAAATCTTTATGATATTAAAAAATTTTATTAAATAATTATAATTATAAAATTAATATTAATAATTTTACAAAATTAATTTTTAAGAGCTTTTTTATGAAATTAATTTTTAAGAGTTTTCTTATAATTAATTTTTAATTGTTTTGTAAAATTAATTTAATAGTTTCTCATAAATTAAAGCTAAATAAGCTTTTTTACAAGCTAATATTTAATAATTTTTCTATAAAACTAATTCTTAATAACTCCTTACAAGACTAATTTTTAATAGTTTTTTTTTACAAGGTTATTTTTTAAAAGTTTTTTTACAAGACTGATTTTAATAGTTCTTAATATTTATAAAATAATTATATATAGTTTAGTATAAATTAGCTAATCAAAATGATTATTCCTAGACCAAAAGATATGCAACTTTTTACATTTAAACTTTGTCTAAAGTCAATTTAAAGATCAGGTTTACAAGGTTTTTTACGACCTTACCAATAAGATGAACATTTTATTAATTAATAATCTAGTATAAATCATAACAACTAATCAAAATAAAGTCATGTAGAAGATAAACATTTTTCAACTTTTATATATACATATAAATATAAGTTCTTGTTACATTTCAAACAATTACAAATTTAAAATAAATTAACTTTTATATTATATATAATACTTTTATTCAAATTATTTAAATTATATTAACAAGAACATCAATACCAAGAATAATCCAAAAACTAAAAGCTTTTACAACTTGAGTTATCTGAATTTATAAAAGCAAAAAAAAAGTTTGTATTTGCCAAGAGATTTAAATTTATTGTAAAGCAAAAATTAAAAATAACAAGGCATTACTTATCTACTTTTGGTGTTCCAAATAAAAAAGATTAATTAATATACTAAAAAAAACAATTATCTACATTAGCAAAATTTTTAAGCAGATATATATTGATATATAGCATTAAATTGATATATATCAATTGAAAATAATCGATATGTATTGATTAATTGTTATATATTGATATATATCACTAGTAATATATAATGATTATAAATAATTATAATTACTATTGATAAGTAATGATTTGTATAAATTTCATTAAATTTCTTAAACTTTGAATTTGATTTTTTTGATAACTAGTAATTAAAATTAGTTGAAATTTTTATTGTAAATAATGTATATATTCAACTATATTATATTAAAGTTTTAGATAATTTGAATTAATCATTTTTGAGAAATAGTTTGTAAATAATAGTTGATTTTTTTAAAAAAATTAACTATCATTTACAAGTAATTTCTTAAGAACTATTAATCTAAATTAGTTAAAGTTTTAGTATAATATAGTTGAATATATACACTATTTACAGTAAAAATTTTAACCAATTTGAATTACTAATTATTGAAAAACCTAAATTCAAAGTATAAGAAAATTTAACAAAATTTTGTTATATATCATTATTAATTACTAATGATAATACTTAGCAGAAGTGCTATATATTATTAGTAATCTAAGGATTACTAACAATATATATCACTTTTAAAATTTTTCTGATGTACCTATAAAAGAAACCCATATTTAAGAATCTTTCAAAAATAAATAATTAAAATAAGAATAGCAATTGAACACAAATATGCTTGAAAAAAAAACATAAGAATTATGTATATATATACTAATAAAAAAAATTCTTCAATGTTATGTAAAAAATTTAATAATGACTAACAGCAAAAATTGAACACACCTCAAGATCAAGATAAACATCTATTTATCTCTAAAATTTTCCCATTATTATCACAAAATGCAAAATTACCTCTTATTCTAAAAAAAGAAAATAATTCTTTACACATTTAACATTTGCTTGGACTATTATTAAAGTTCAAGATTAAACACAATTTTATACTGAAATCTATTTTTTACAACTATTTGGCTGGAGCTGAAAAAAAATGATGTGAAAGTCTTCAAATGCTATAGTGCTACTCTACTGAATTTTCAAAAATGTCCAGCTTCGCTTCACCACAAACCCAAATTTTAGGTTCAATAACCAGAATTGAGACTAAATTAGGATCAACGTTTGGATACCTGATTCTTGGTTTAAATATAATAGCTGACTTTTAATAGAAGATATAAACTGACTTTTAGTTTGTTAGTTGCAAATCTTAGACATAATTATCGTTCTATTTGTAAGGAAGTTTTTCTTTCATTAATATTAGATCATATATAAAACTGGTTAT